GCGTTCATCAAGATGTAGATGTTGCAAAACATGGTGTGAAAAGCAGCCCCAATTCATTTGCCTTTGAGGAAAATTAATTTTCTTTACTCACATTTTTTCATTTATACATTTATCCTAGAATCTCTACTACTAAAACTACCTGAATGGCACATGTGAATCAAATTTTATGAACTTAAAGAATTAAATTTAATTTCGTTGGGAGACTTAATCGGGTTTCAATCATTTTGATCCAAATTTCGGTACTTTTTAGCCCAAAAAAGTCATACAGCCTTAATTTTTTTTGTGTTAGTAGTGACTTGTTGGCAGGCCATCTTCCATATAAATCCACATCTTTATGCTGTCGACGTATAGTTTCGACACTTAAATCCGCTTATARCGGACGCTTCAACTTATCCGCCTCAGTAACTTGTCTATTCTCCCAGTTGACCTTCAGGACGGCCTGATTCCTTTTTAAGCTCCAAACCGTCAATATTATCTTTTTTTATAAAAGACGAAGAACTTTTTAAATGCACAGCCAAAAAATGGTTGTACAATAACTGAACAGTCATCAACGCGATTTCATAGAAATAATAACCCACTAGATCTAGCAGAATTTTTTTTTACTTTGCATTTATATAGTCTACAAAAGTGTTGGTGCGTTTTTATTGACCTTAAGTGTACTTTATAGAGTCTTTGACGTCTCCTTTTGTGTATTACAAAAATGGTGGCAAACCTAATATACCCTACTCAGGGTAGRAAAATGCACAAAAGCGATATACATAATGGCTAAATTTAGTTACAATKAAGAAAATGGTTGAAACTCACTTTATTGGCAATTGAAGAATTTGTGCGAGCAAATCATTTGGTACCTTACTACCGATGAATTGAACAAACAAATTGAACAACCGATGAATTGAACAAAAAGATATCAGATAGGAGATGTATAGAAAAGGAAAATTGAAACAGTGATAGYGAAGAAGAAACCATGGAAATAAATTTTAATAAAATGGAAAAAAACGAATTTAAATCTCGTGAATTTCCCATACAAATGAACAAGACTTAGGTGTTAAACGTCAACTTTAGACATGTGTTTAAACAACAATTTGAAGGAAAACCAAATGAAATAATATACCAATTTTACAACAACTAGCTCACATAAAAGATATGTAAGCAAACATATTAAAAGAGGCAAAAACTAAGACAGATCAGTTAACAATAATCAAACAAGCTGTTTTAAAGCTGATATTAGGCGGTCAGACAGCAGGTACAAGCGAAGCCAACGCTTAAAAAACAAGACAAAGACATACACCGTATGTACAGTATAAATGCATATTGTAAATACAACAAGCAAATGTTGTAAAGATATTGATACTTGTATTTACTTGCGAATTAGACACCTCCAATGAGTGATTTTGAAAACTAAAGGCACAAACAAGATTAAGTAGAGCAAAAATCAGTTAAAAATAGCAGAAAAAGTAAAACAAAAATAAATTTCAAATTAATTGTAAATACTAAGCTTAGAAATTTGAAAAAGGAACAGAGTAAATATACGGTTTAAAACAAAGCTGTGGACCCAGCCCGTTTTTGCGCTGAACTGCAATAAACCAAGTTGAGGCGAATTGTATTGCGCATGCGCAAACTAATGCGCACGATTTACTTAAATGTAACAGCGCCAACGTGCACCGGCCAACGGTGCGCAACAAAATAATGTAAATAAAATTTAATTTAAAACAAATAAAAGACAGAACTAAAGTAAAGCAAATCGAAAATAATTTGCTGCGGCAACAACAAGAGTTGTCGATATAYATGTGTATTTATATATACATATACACAAGCTTATAGTGACTATGACGACAATAGCAACGCCGCCGACATGGGTCGYGGCGACACAACGCAGTCCAAAAAACCCTGCAGCGACAAGGCAAACCACATTTTGTCAGACCAAGTCAAGACAGTAACACCACAAGCTGAGCTCAGCTCAATCACAGCGCTGCTAGTCGCATTTGCTTCGCTTTAACGCATACAACAATAACTATATATCGATATGTATATATGTATGTATTTATGTTTGTATCATATGAGTTTAAGGCGCGTCTCCTGCTTTCCGTTTAGTCGCCGCTTCTTATTTGAGGTATTGCCGCACATTTACTGTTGTATCCAAACGGTTCATTTACTGTTTTACATTTAGTTTTATAATTTACTATGTTTTTATCGATATTTTAAACCGTTGTCACCGCAGCTYTGGTAGTACAGTAGCAGCAGTAGCATCCTCATAAACGAATTGTTGTTGCCGGCATTTATTTATATATTCAAATGTTTTATTTATTATCTTCTTAGTATCCGTGTGCCTAAGCATGTTACTTTGTTTGTTGTTGTTGCTGTAGCGGGTATTGGCTGATGCGCTTAACAAAAACCAGTATATATGTGTATATGAATATATCAAACTGTTTGGGGCTTAAAGTCGGAAATATATTTGTAATTTTGTATAAATAATAAGCTAATTATTTCTATGTGTATATATATATTTATACCTATACATATATTATTTATATGTAYTACAAATATATCTGTGTTCGGCTTCGTATACGATATAAAGCCCATCATCGTGGGCCTTTTATTGTTCTTATATATAATATATAGATATGTTATATATAGAGATGTATTTCTTAATTAGCTTCGAGAAATTCCGCTAAGATGACACCTTTGACACCTTGTTCAATAATAACATCGTACACACTCCCGCAATATATGAGTACACTTGGCGGTCTTCATGAATTTTACATGTTAGTTTTTCATACGCCCTGGTGGCCTMTGGCTTTGATTTTTGCACTATTTGTATAAAACTTAGTTTATATATCTTATACTGGTAAAAAATAATCATATTTTATATGTTTACTTTAAAGTTAAGTTAACTTAACTTAACTTAGCAAACTTGGGAAATTTTGTATTTGTGAAGGGTAAACAAGTTTAAAAAGCAAAATTCAATTATATTAAAAAAAAGGTTTGTGTTAGTTATTTTCTTATTTTTTATTTTTCTTGTTTTTAATTTTTTGACAATGCTTTTTTCGAAATGTTTCTCTTTTTTACATTGGACCTATTTCATAAGTAAAATAAATTTGGCTTTGCTAATACAAAAGAATCYTCAGCATTTATCAAATTTACCTTTTGCTCAATTAAATTATAAGCACATATTATAATCCAGTCATCTTTATTGAAAGTATTATAAAAAATTGAYATTTATAACTTATTCAGCGCACTTTGAAATAAATTTTTAGAGAGTGTGTATAACCAATCAAAAACTTATTGCATTGTGTGCTTATTCCGCACTCTTTTTAAGCCATTCAGCTACTTAATTTTAAGCTTTGCACATTTATGTCATATTAATATAATGAGGATACATTTCCCAAACAGCAACATACATTATAAGTTTACTCAGCGCTTTTTTAAACAATTCAGCTCCCTATTTTCAAAACTATCCTTTATGTGCATATAATATGAACGCATTCCTTAAACGCAATGTTTTTTATATGTTGTTTCAASATCTCAATATCAAATCTAAGCGTTTTTTAGCTCGAGTAAATTACGTTTCCATTATTACACAATTTTTTTGCTTAAATATCAAATTTCTTTCCAAAAAATAGAATAGTATAGGATGTATTTTATAAGCAAAATTTTTAAGTCTGTGTAATTATAATGGTCTAACAGAGCCAAAAACTAATTATTGTGAACCATTTGTAGCAATTTACTAGTTAGACTATCAAATGTCTGACAAAGCGTGAGAATCTGTCTTATTGTGTCGACARTAGCATTGTCGGCTTCACCAACCGTTGTTAACTTAAATACCCACCTACCTTGATTCTTCAAATACCCTTGGCTCTCTTTCTACTTACACTTATCGCTGCACAGTTTTGTTATCACTCCCACCACATTACTCACACTTTACCTTCTTTAAGTAATTATCCAGTCGGGTCTATCGCGTCACTGCTTCTAACAGCTCACTTACCCTGTCAACCTCTTGAAATCATTCGATAAAAATACTTTTTTCTCTACTCAGTACTTTGACATTGTGTGAATTAGGCCAGGGTTAAGTGCTTAAATAGCGTGCTAATGACGTATCCCCACCGTTCTCCGCATCAATGTCATTTGAACTTCTGTTTAATCGCTTTACATTTGTACGTGATTTGCGGCAAATTTAGGCTAATAGCTGCTTACAAGACATACAAGTCTATTAAATAAAGGCAAAAAATGCAAAGTAAAGCGATAACAAATGATTTCTTGCTGCGTCAGCGTYGTGGGTTAGACTTTAAAGTACTAAACTTGGCAGCAGATATGGTAGTCAAAATTTTGAAATTTAATTTATACTGCAAAATCCAAATAAATTCGAAAATAAAAATTCCAAAAAAAAAAATTAATACGCTTTATTCTCATCTTCTTCTTTACAAGCGTAGACTTTATTTACTGCAAGAAATTTCAAGGAAAAGCTGGCATCAAAGAGTTTCTAATGTATAATCAGTTCAAACTAAGCATTACTGTTCGCATACATTATTGTGCGAATAATGGCAACTCTGACCTTAATTGAAATTTAATGTTTTTGAGTTAAACTTTTTTATCGGTGACAACTGCCGACAAATAAACAAATAAGTCCAAAGTAATTTTATTGTTTTAACTTTTGAGATAGTTGGCAACTTTGTTCTAAATTATGTTCAAATTAATACTTTCTGTGGGAGACTTTTGTGTTATACCCTGTTAATAATATAACTTTAGTTTTTTCACAAGGTGGCAACTCTACTCCAACTTTTTTAAATTAAAGATTTTCAGAATTTTTTTTTGGTTTAATATTTACACATGCATAATAATACATTATACTTTAGTGGTCTAAGATATCACATATGGACCTAAAACTCAGAAACTAAAGGCGGTTCGGAAATACAACATCTTAATATGCTATTATTTATATATATTATATATAGTACAATCCGCAGAGCTCATAACTAAATCATCTACTATTTCCTTCTTTACAGTATCACAAACAAATGTCACCCACACAACTGCAATCGGTGTTCCACGTCGCCGATGTAAGCGCCGTGCCGCACTATGAAGTCGTGCAGCTGTTGCATAGCAGTTTTGACGACGGTTTGGCGTCACTCYCTGAACATTATCGTCGTCGTCGGCGACGCAGCATCAACAGTGTTGAYGGAGATGCTCGTCCGACCATCAAAGAGCCACATCATGTGAAGAAGGATTTGAGTAAAAATCCTTATTATAGTGAATTGAAAGCTGCCGCTAATACGCCAGGTGCTGGTGGTGTGAATAGTCTAGAGCAAGCGGCGAATGGCAAATTCGCTGGTGATTTACGAGAGTTAAAAGAGCACAAARTTTCGTTTAATGCTTTCGGTGAGAATTTGAATTTAACCTTGAAGCGAACGGATAGTCTGTTCAAGGGCGGTTCCCCGCATACGCTGCGTATGTGGACTGTGCGCGACGAGGCGAATGCGACGCATGGTTTGGATCTGCAGGAAGTTTTCGATGAGGTAAGTGAAAGCAATTATAATAAGCTGAATATAACAAACTAGATATAAGTAAATCGAAACCTTGCTGAAGTATTATAATGTGGTATTCTAGCTTTATTTTGTTCTAATGTTGGATATTTTTATTATTCAGCCCAACTTAGTAATAACAAACTTAATTCCCCGCATACGCGGAATATTTAATATGAATTATATAGATATATGGAGTAAACGTTATGTCACCTCTACTGGCCAATATTGTTTAACTCAGCAATCTTTGGTATTAAAATTAGATCTACAAATTTAAATTTCAGCAACATCATGCCATAAGAATTATTGCATAAAATATATTCGTTGCTGTAATTAAATTTAGCACCATGTAAAAGTTTTTTATTGATCTACTCATGAAGGATTTATTCAGCGCATTTTATATAATCAGCACGCTTATATTATTGAAATACAAGCAAATATAATACTTTTCTCAGCTTTATTTTAAACATCAAATATAAATTTAAGCTATCTGACTTATTCAGCGCATTTTGCAATATGTTTTTTATGAATGTTTATTCAGCGCAATTTTAAGCAATTCAGCTCCCTCATTTAAAGTTGCCAATTATAATTTCACTAGTTTTTATCTTTGTAGAATATGGATACAGTTCCCTGTATTCATTATATATTTACACAGGATTATTTTAGGAAATTTATCTCTCTGATTTCAAGCGCTGAACGGTAATTTAACTTATTGTTACTATTTTCTTGGATCAAATATTGCAATTTATTGCAAGCAACTGTCATTGTTTAATATCCTCTTTTAAGCAATTCAGCTCATTAAATCCAAACGCTGAATAATACTCAGTGAAAAAAGTATGTCCGATGACTTTTTTAGTTTTTTATTTGGACTAATCTAGAATTTATATTCTGTACAGCAGTGYTGTTCGTGCTTCATGACTTAAATATTGCACCGAAAGGCACCGAATAAATTAATTTTCTATTATTACATAATTTTTATGYTTCGCCTTTTTGGAGACTTAAGTGTCATACCTGATGGCGTGACTTGTATTTATCTTACCCCYCGTGCTTATTTTCTTTTTATTTAGTGATATGTTTTTAACTGCGTGTGGCCCCCTTACTACTTTCATTTTTATGGCAAATTTTTGCACGCATGTTGTACAATTTTTTGCTACTTTTTGCTTTTTTAATTTATTTGCAAATATTTTGATTTGATTTTTTATGTTTTATAATYGACCGTTATCGCCTTTTCCATTTCACTTTATATTTATTCATACATTAGGCAGCTCTGTACTTTCGTCGGTAATTTCTTAATTGATCGTTCATGTTTGTAAACGCAGATGTATTTACCTCCCAAWTCATTTTCGCAGGTAATCAGGCAAACACTCGCGCCCTCAGGGTGTGAATTAATTCAGCTGTAAATGCCATGCCGTGTTATATTTGCTTCCGCTACGAATATGAATTTAGAGTTGGTAGTGTATTTGCTTTCTTTTTACGTTCTCTTGATTTTTTTTTTTTTTTTTGGTTTTAATTTTTTTTGCTTTGCCAAAGTATTTTGTACCACTTTTTGATTAAAAAAGAAAGTTGAAAATATTATTCATTATTAACTCGTCAGCAGCCGATCTGCTACCCAAAAAATTKTAAATCTTGGTTTGAGATATAAAAATTAGTCATCTTTCGAGAACTTCCCATTAAACAAACTAAAACTTAGATAAATTTTTCAGTATAGATGCTTAGTCGAAAAACGCAAACCCATATCATCCTCTTCTTCTGACTCCGACTACTTCTTTTGAGAAAATAAATTTATAAAGAAAATATTGTAACACCTTCTCTCCCAAGTGGAGATCACAGCAATTAAGAAGTGCTTTCTTGTTCTAACAAGGAGTGTGTTCTCAATAAGCAATATATTTATATATACAGATAGTAAAATTAGACTTCGAAAAAAACGGAATGTATATGCCTCTCACATGAATAATCAGTAAAACTTAAAGTGTATGGTATAAAAACTCTCGTAATTATCCAAGTGGTATCACAATGGGTCTCCTAAAGGTCTATGTGCGACCTATCTATCGACACATTCTCTGCTATTTTAATTTTTTGTCAATGGTTTCATTATGGTACTCAGAGAAAATACAATTTTCTTTGATTTTTAAGCYCGATAAGCTTGACATAGCTTGCTTAGGAGGGTCTAAAGGCAAAAAACTCGTCACAACGATTGTTCAAGAATTTTGAAAGTGGTTAGAGGTTCATATTTAGTTACTTCACTTTTTCCCTAGGTTTGAAATTTAGCTGTATCTTAAAATTCAAAGCAAAGCGTTGGTTATTGAGAGTTATATCAATAGAGAGAGCGAGAGAGAGAAAGAGATAGTATATTGATACTTTATCTTAGAAGATCTTAAACAGTAAAGAAAACTAAAAATATTAAAAAATAACTGAAATATTAATAAATTTATGTATTAAAAAATTCAGAAATTATATAAAAACACATGTGTAGTTGTTGTTGGTTTTATTTTACGTTTCTACCCTTCTGTAAATCTCTGAACTCTTCTCTTAAAATCTAATTYTATATTTCTCCGCTTGCTGCTTGATGTCCATCAGCAGCACAAGTCACTCGCTTTGCGTTTGCTCTATCGCTTGTTGTTGTTTTGTGTAATGCTTATTTTTTGCTTGCTGCTTTTGCTCGCTTAATACATCTCTTGCTTTGGCTTGCTTTTTAATGCTTCATATATTTTTTATTTCGGGAAATAAAATTTTTTCTCTTACTTCATATTTTATTTCGCTTTCGTTGCATAATTTCTAATCAGCAGAAGATGAAAAAAAACAACAACAAAATTAAAAAAGTTTGCATAAATATCAAGCAAGCCCATTTTGCATGCGGCGAGCAACCGCGGTGTCTGTAACACATTTTTACATTGCAACCCACTGTGAGCGCTCCCGCCGCTATTTGTTGGCCTCAATTCCCATTGCCGGTCTATTCCCTCCGATTTCACGYAAGTCGCGACACTGCGCCGCAAAAACCACAAAATGCTGCAAACTAAAACCGCTTTTTGCCACACTGTCTAACTGGCAGGTTCACTCACTCACTCACTCACTTAGCCTGTGACGCTCTCACTCTCACCGCGCACTTAGTTGCCACTCATTGCAATGCCCCTCTGTTGCAATAGTGCGCCGTGCCTGCAACATGTCTAACTGTTAGTAAAAGTGCTAGCGTGCTACAATTTTGTTTTTGTGTTCCATACTTTTAGCTTACTTATTATGATAGTTTTTGTTGTTGCTCTAATTACGTATGCACATTCGCAATTGGCATGCTTAATGCAAATCGCTGGCATTTGCACTGTGCAAAATCAATCGTACTTCGAATTGGATCGAAAGCAAAACAAATAGAAAACCGTTAGATACACAAACAGTCAGTCAAACAGTACCCAAACACACATACACAGACATGAATCGTTATTATTTGTAATGAGTGTCCATTTGCGCTCAAGGGTCTAYCGCGTACGCTGCTTTAGTGCGATTTGTTTTTCCCCTCYACTTCTGTTTTGTTTGTTTACTGGYAATCCGTTACATTTAATTTTCGATTTTGCCTCATTACCGACTGGCAATCGCATTAACATTAAACCAAATAATAATAATGAGTCGTGTGGGGAGTGAAGTTCGTTGCTTAAGTCTTTCGTTTGCGCCGTTACATTTTTATGTAATTGCCTGTTTTATACTACGAGTGCCGTTAGGAAAACAGTAAATTGGAATTAATCGCCCAGAAACAGGAAAAATAATTGGCATAGATATACATAATATAATAATATTTGAAATTTTTATATATTTTATTTTTTCTATTTTTCTTGTACAAAAAATTTATAAGTGTAACTGTTGTACTCAACAACCGCTCCTAAATATTTTTGGCGCATTGTTTTGTGTTTTCAACACATTAAATGCTACAATTGAAGCAGGTGTGGGTGCCGGCTGGCCCAACACTTCCTTGTGTGGATTGCTGGAAGCATTGGCGATTCATWTATTTTCGTATACACTTTTAAGGTTATGTTACACAGTTATTTAGTAGTAGTTTAAAAAACTGGAAGCTTATTAAAATATTGCTTTATAGCCGTATTTTTAGAGTTCATTGGAAAAATTATTTAATATAATTGAAAATTTCTTTTTAATGAAAATTAGTTCATATATGGAGCTACGATCGTGAGTTATCTTCGATGGAATGTAAAACCGGATTTACTACAAATTCAGAACGCATATTTATTCATTCTTTCTGTATTTAGTATCAAATGTATAAACTATAGCAAACGACTAACTATTTATAAATTTCAGTCCATACAAAAATTCATAATCGTAATGAGTACAAAAATATTACGGGACGGWAATTAATTATATAAAAGKCACAATATTTAGTTATTCATCAATATTTATGTTGTTGCTTTCAAACTAATTCCCCACCAGATGTGTTTAATACACTTATGCCAACGATTTTTCCAGTCCTGTTTTCATAAGCACTTTTTGGGATGGGCTTCAGCTCCTTCATCAAATTTTGTTTTATATCTTCGATTCGAACGGGTTTCATGGAGCGGCATCTYCAGTTTGGGAACAAGAAAAAATCACATGAAGCCAAATCTGGAGAATACGGTAGTTGATCGATGGTATTCATTGCGTTTATGACTTTAAGTTAAATTCGTGGCTCTAAGTGATGGTGCATTAGAACGGTGTAAAATCCATGAAATCTTCCATAATTCCGGACATTTACGGCGGATATTCGCATGCATAGGTCTCAATACGGCCAAATAGATATCCTTATTGACCATCTGTCCCTTCGAAAAAAAATTATGAAGCATCAAATCACGATCGAAAAAACAATGAGCACAACGTTATCAGCTTTATCAGGGCGAGTCGAGCAAGAACGCATTTAATACCTAAAATATCCACCAAAATCATTCGAATGAACTCGCTTGAGATGTCGAGCTCTATTGCCATCTCTYTAACACTTGCCTGACGATTTTCAAGCACCATATCCTTTACTTTTATAATGTTTTCATCTGTTGAACATGTTGACGGTA